TTTTCCTGTGCCCCACATTGACACCTCTGCTTGCAGTGTTGAACTGTTTTGTAAATAAACACTAATGACAGACTAAATAATGTCTCCTTGTGGGAGACATATGGTCTTTTAATTTTCTATACATGTATTATAAAATATTATCCAGAATATACTAGCATTAAATAAACACCTAGTTTCTTTTTCCCAAATGTAATTCAGCAAAGTAAGATAATGATACCAGACTTGAATATTTAAAAATATTAATCTGTTTAGTGAAAATTTGTTCAGGTATAAATGAGCAGTTAAGATATAAATGATTTATTCATGCTGTGACTTAGTCTATGGATTTATTCCAAAATCACTTACCATGCAGCTTCTGTATACATATATTCATACATACATAATGATTGTAATAATGAGATGGTATTGCATTATTTCTAATAATAGGGATAATGCTTAATAAAAAGAAATGTTGCTTTGTTCAACAAAAAATATGTGTTCTATAGAGCTCTAGAGTCTCTTAAAGGATAGAGCTTTTGCATAAATTTTTGCTTATAGAATAAGATAAGAGCATATCTCTTTAAAACAGCCTAATGAAATGACATATATTGATTTCACCTAGTACTATAACATTCAAATACCAATAGCTTATAGCTTGATAAATCAGGGATTCCCTTAGAGCTAGGTATAGAGCCTAGTGAAGAAACCAGAATATGGAACCCCAAAATATGTATCTTCAAGGACCAGAAGAACCTGCAAACAAACCTTACTCCATTTATTTCTTCCCATATACAAGGTATCCCCAAAATATACACAGGGTGTCTGTAGATTGTATTACATTTTGCAAATCAAATATATTTTAATAAACACTGGCTTTATAATTATTCAAAGTGTGTATACATTTTTGGGGGACACCCTATATTTAACCTCCCACAATTTGCCACCCTTGAAAACCTAAAACTGCCTTCCTTTGTCTTATCATCTCTCCACAGATTTATTGTTCTTTGTTGAAGATGATCTGTTGACTGCGGTTGTAAGCTGCAGCTTTGGGTCACTCCTCCTTTCCGGCATCTTCTGTGTGATGTGCACTTCATGTGTTAATACACTTCTGTTCTTTTGTCAATGTCTTCTTGTGCAAGAGTCCCAGCTGAAAACCTAAGGTGAGTAGAAGTAAAGTTTTGCCTCCCTTATGTTAGCACTCATTTAACCTGTATCTTCACTTCAGTATGGAGGCAAAAAGTTAACTCTCTTCTTGGCTGGCAATCACCCTGGGGCTGGCCATCCCAGGGTTTCTGTTCCCTACATTTGACTCTGAACATTGAGGGTGGGCTACCTTGGTAGACTTTTCTTTTCTAATACACTGAACACCAGAATGCTTTCTTTTTTTGGATCCTCACCTAAGGATATGTTTTTATTAATTTTAGAGAGAGAGAGGGGGGAAGAGAGAGGGAAATATCAATCGGCCACCTCCTGAACACATCCTGCTTGGGCATTGAACCTGCAACCTGGGTATGTGCCCTGACCTGGAACTGAACCCAAGAGCTTTCAGTGTATGGGGTGATGCTCCAACCAACTGAGCCACACCAGCCAGGGCGAGCACTAAAATTCTAAAATCAGAATCCCAAAAGATCAAAGGTCCTACATTTGACTCTGACCTTTGAGGGTGGGCCGCCCTGGTAGACTTTCTCCTCTCTAATAAACACGGAGTTCTTAAATTATAACTCCAAAATGTCAAAGGTCTTTTCTTCATACAGAAACACAAGAACCAGGCAGGTTGAGATTTTCAATTAAAAAAAAAACAATCAGAACTTATTTTACATAGTAATGTTCTTTTTGTGTGAAGAATTACATCATTTACTAAAGAACACAAACCATCATACATTTTTTTCTACTAGATGATCTTTTTAAAACTTTTATTTATTGATTTTAAAGAGAAAGGGAGAGGAAGAGAGAGAGAGAGAGAGAAATACTGATTTGTTGTTCTACTTATTGATGCCTTCATTGATTGCTACTTGCATGTGCCCTGACCAGAGACCGAACTTGCAACTTTGGCATATTGGGATGGCTCTCTAACCAACTGAGCTACCCAGCTGGGGCTAGATTATCTTTTTTCTTAAAAAAGGTAAAACATTTGTAATGTTGCATGTACTATTAGGTATTTCTTGCATTTTCTGTATAGGCATGTCTCATATTGCACTTCGCTTCATTGTGCTTCACAGATGTTGTTTTTTTACAAATCGAAGGCAAAATCCTCTACCAGCAAAATGATTATGGCTTGACCTATTGCAACATTTGCTTCAGTCCTGTGCTTTGGAACTGAACCTGCAATATCAGGTGTATGCCTGTACTTGAAATCTCAATGACATTAGATCAGAGTATTATAATCATATTTTAATATGAATAGAGCTCATTGTACACTAAACTTGGGTAAACAATATTTGATTTGATCAAATATTGTATTTGATTAAATATTGTTCTTGATCAAATATTTTATTTGATTGTAAGTTTAGTATTCTCACCTGTGTAACAAAAACTTACAGGTTTCTAGTCCCTTCATTTGTGAATCATGCCCATTATTAATATTACCAATTGTGTGCAGTGACTGCATAATTAGTTTCTTCCAAGAAAAATTAAAGCAAAACATTTTGTTTGCTCCATGTGTTTGGGGTTTTTTTGCAATAAAACCTAACCTTACAAAAACAACAACAACAAAAAAAAACCTGAAAAATTGCATGTCCTGGCTAACATTTATGTGGAAAAATAAGTTCTTGGAACTGTACATGAATATACAAAATGGCTTCCCCAGCTAGGCCTTTTACTGTTATCACTCAAAATAACTGGAACTTTTCCATAAGAGAAATAAACATATGGAAGAGAGATGTGAACCTTCCCAGCACTGGCAGGATCTTGTAATCCCTTTGTAATGATGGCTTGGAGGAAAAGCACACACTCTCTTTTTGGGCTACTCCCTATATTTACATCAGCTTTCCTATATGTAGATATTATATCACAGAAACAGGAATAGACTGGTAATATATCTAAATTTATGTAATAAGAGCTGCTTTATAATACGGTTCTGTTGTACTAACATTTTTGTTCCATCTTCACTAGCATCTGTTTGGTTCCCAGGCCTGTTGTTAAACTGTTGTTGTTTTTTTCCTCAGAGAAAGCACTGTAATTGTAATATACCTCAGTTAATTTAGAGAGTGACTTTTGTAAAGTATATCTTCTACTCAGATGTTGTAGGGTTAATTATTTATGGATTATAAAATTGACAGTGAAAAGTGTTATTTAAATGCAACGAATGTTTGTTTTTTATTGATTTTAGAGAGGAAGGGAGAGGGAGAGAGAGATAGAAACATTGATGAAAGAGAACATCAACTGGCCGCCTCCTGCATGCCCCCCACTGGGGATTGGGCCCACAACCTGGACATATGCCCTGACCGGGAATCAAACAAGCGACCTCTTGGCAAATGCAAAGAATGTTTTAAAAGAACTCTGTGATGCCAATAAAACGTTCTCTAAATAAAACAACTGATAGTGGATAATTCAAAGACTGGGCCTAAGAAGCTTCTGGATATAAGCACGGTCAAAAACCAATTACTGGTACCAATCATTCTAGTAAGAAAAATAACATAATTAGAAATAAAGAAGATACTGACTGGATACATGTCTACTTCGTGGGTCTATAAAATCAACAAGTAATCAATCCAAAACCACTATCTTTTCTATCATTAGGTGGAGATGAATAGGCAGACACCAGATTCCTATTTAACTAAAAAGGAAATTGGGGCACAGAAATCTTCAGTGTTTGTTGTGTCAGGCACTTCTTTTGGCTCTGAGTTGACTGCTCTTTTGTTCCTTGAAACTTTAGGTGTAGCCCTGATCGGTTTGGCTCAGAGGTTGGAGAGTGGGCCTGTGGACCAGAGAGTCCCGGGGTTCGGTTCCCACTAGGGGCACATTCCAAAAAAAAGAAACTTTCGGTGTAAATATCAATAAAAACCGGATTTTAGTGCTATAAGATCATTATTCTGACCCTCTTGTTTTCACCAAGGAAGAAACTGAAAAGTTCCTAAAGATTGAGTTACTCATCATTATTCAGAGAGAGGTTCTTAAACACCCTATTTTGTAGAACATACGAAAATTATGTACAGGATAAATGTGACTGTTGATTGGGCCCGACCACATCGGCATCCTAACACACATTTATTTATTAAAAGAAAGTCCATGCGTAATCTACAGAGACTCGTGCAGCTTCGCCAGCACCCTCCTCTCTTGCCTTTCTCCCAGTTCTACTTGGGCCTGGGCTTTCTGGGTCAAGGTTGGTTTTCTCCTGCCTCCTCCTGCTTCCAGGCATGGCTGGCATCCAGGACTGTGGACAGGGTGCTTTGAAGGCGCCGGACTGGAAGGCAGAGAATGAAGACTGATTCTCATCAGTCCGCCGAGGTTGCATGCAAACAACCCCTGGGTCCCCCTCGGTGGGTGCCCCAGCAGCAGCTCTCTCCCACCTCCCAGCGCCTCTGGCTCAGGGCCTCCGCGGCCGGGGGTGGTGGGTCCAAGTGGCCAGGGGCCCGGCGGGGGCACCGGCCTCAGTCCCCACGTGGGTCTCTGAGATAAGGGGCATTCAGTGCACAACGCTTCGACACGCCCCGCGCAGAGACGGGCTAGTACCGTTGTGGTTAGAGGCGCGAAGGCGGCGGCGGGGGCTGCACCGGGAGCCGAGCGACTTCCGAGGCCGCCTCCCCCGGCACCGCAGCGCCGTCAGGCCTCTCTCGTCCTCCTCCTCGCTCGCCAGCTCGGGCGCTCTCCTGACATGACTCAGCGTTTCTCCCGGGCAGTCCTGCTGGGGACACCGGCTCCTCGCCGGCTCCTCCCGCCGCGGCCACCCCCTCTCCCCACCCACGCCGGCCCCGCGGCCGGGCCCTACCCTTGCGCGGCCGCCGCCGTCCCAGCAGCATCCGCGCCTGCACTGCGCGTGCCTCACGCTCCGACCGGACCCCGCCGCCCGCCGCCCGCCCGCCATGGAGCCCGCCGCCCTCCGCCGCCGCCACACCCACCTGCGCGGCTGCACCGTGATGCGGGACGCCCACCTCAACAAGGTGAGCTCGCAGGCCCACCTGGCAGCCCACGGCCCGGCCCCTCCCGGGCGGGGACGGGCGCCTCCCGCCCGTCCTCTCCGCAGGGACTCGCCCCTCCACCCGCTCCTCCCGGAACGTACCCTCCGAGCGGCCGGGGCCCAGGGGCGACCTCCGTACCCCCGAGGGGGCGAGTGGAGGGGCCGCCCACTCGGGTCTGTGCCCAGGAGTGTGATGGAAGGGTGGTGCTGGTGCCTCTGCACCTCGGCATCCCTTTTGGGGACGAGAGAAGATGTAACTTGTTTATAATACTCTAGGGCTTCTCTTCTCCCAAACAAGAGCCTCGCCAAGTGGTGTCAGAAAAAGTGCGTGCGCGGTGTTTCGGTGAAGGGAGTGGGCAGGCAGGTAGGTTAGCCTGGTTGCGCCCTCCACCCACCACTTTCGGGTTTGACCCAGTGTGACAGTTCTTGGAGCTGCCTGGAGAGAAGTGGCCCGGCTGGTCCAGCCTGGGTCGAAGGAAGCCCTGGAAGTCGAGGCCTGTTGATCTCTGGAGGGACTCAGCGCTCGTCTGGGGCGGCGCCGTGGGTGGCCTCCGCCCCCCACACTGCTGGCCGGGCGCAAAAGCAGGGTCCCAGACGCGGGACTGTGGGTCAAGCCGTATCTACTTTTTGAAACTGGCCTGGAAATGAAGAACAACAACTTCTTCTTCTTTTTTTAATTGAAAGGGAAATTCAGTGTACACCCTATTCACAGACCCTTTTTCAGATCCTGGTAGGATTCTAGTTTTCTTCACAGGTAGTGTGGTATAACCCCCTAAGATTTCTCTTAAACGAAAACCGCCTCAGAATGTATGATTTTGCTTATCTAGATACTAAACAGCCACATTTATTTTATAGCTGTGTTTTGTGTCTGGATTGGTGCTTTTGTGTGTGTGCTTTTGACATTTCCATTTTTTTTTAGTGCATGTGAAATGTATCAGTCAGCACAGAGATATGTTTAGTGATTTTGGTTGTCTTTTTACTGGACACCCTTTTTCTTTAAGAACTGGACCTCATCCTCCCCCACCCCCATCATGTTGCTGGTGATTTCGTTTTTTTGTTTGTGAATGTGTGTGTGTGTGCTTCCCCCAATTTTAATTGACATTTAATATTATATTAGTTTCAGGTGTACAACCCAGTGACTAGGCATTTATATAACTTGCAAAGAGACCCTCTCAGTAAGTCTAGTACCCATCTGGCACCATATATAGTTACTGCAATATTACTGACTGTATTCTCTATGCAGTACTTTATATCCCCATGACTATTTTGTAATTGCCAATTTGTACTTACTCCCTTCACCTTAGTCACCTCCCCCACCCCCACCAGCACTCCTCCCATTTGGCAACCATCAGTTTTCTCCTATCTATGAGTTTGTTTCTATTTTGATTGTTTATTTTGTTGTTTAGATTCCACATATAAGTGAAGACAAATGGTATTTGTCTTTCTCTCTCTGAGTTATTTCGCTTAGCATAATACCCTCTAGGTCCATTCATACTGTCACGAATGGCAAGATTTAATCCTTTTAATGGCTGAATAATATTCAATGGTATATATGTACCACATCATCTTTATCCAATCATCTATTGATGGACACTTAGGTTCCTTTCATATCTTGGCTATTGTATATGAAAAGTCCTTTTGTCTCTTGTTTAACCTTTGTTTTAAAGTCTATTTTGTCTGATGTAAGTATTCTTACCCCTGCATTTTTTTTTTTTTTGCACTTCTATTTGCATCAAATATCTTTTTTCATCACTTTATTTCAATCTCTGTGTGTCATTCGCTTTGAAGTGGTTCTCCTGTAGGAAGCATATCTATGGGTCTTGTTTTCTTCTCTGTTCAGCCACCATATGTCTTTTGATTGGAGCATTTAATCCATTTATGTTTAAAGTAATCGTTGATAGTTATATAGTTTTTACCATTTTTAAATTCGTATTGTTTATCTTTCTTCTTAAATAAGTCCCTTTACCATTTCTTGTAATACTGGTTTGTTGATGATTAACCCCTTTAGCTTTTTCTTATCTAGGAAGCTCTTTATTTGTCCTTTGATTCTAAATGATAGCCTTGCTGGGTAGAGTTATCTTGTTCTTTTGGTCCTTGTTTTTCATCACTTTCTCTATTTCTTCCCAATTCCTTCTGGCCTGCAAAGTTTCTGTTGAGAAATCAGCTCATAGTCTTATGGGAGCTCCTTTGTAGCTAACTATCTACTTTTGTCTTGCTACTTTTATTTTATTATTATTTTTTTTTATCCTCACCCGAGGACACTTTTTCATTCTTTGTTCAGATAGAGCAGGAGGGAGAGAGAGAGAGAGAGAAACATCGATGTGAAAGGGACACATCCAGTGGCTGCCACCCGCATGACCAACCAGGGCCGGGGACAAACTGCAACCGAGGTACATGCCCTTAGCGGGAACCGAACCCCGGTCTCTCTGGACCGCAGGCCGACGCTCTAACCGCTGAGCCAAACCGGCCAGGGCTGTCTTGCTACTTTTAAGATTCTCTCTTTATCTTTAACCTTTGGCATTTTAATTATTATTTGTCTTAGTGTGGGCTTCTTTCGGTTCATCTTGTTTGGGACTTTCTGTGCTTACTGGACTTGTATGCCTATTTCCTTCACTCGGTCAGGGAAATTTTCCATCATTATTTCTTCAAATAGGTTTTCAATCCTTTGATCTCTCTCTTCTCCTTCTGATACTCCTGTGATACGAATGTGTTTACACTTGATGTTGTTCCAGAAATCATTTAAACTACCCTTATTATTTTTATATTCTTTATTCATTTTGCTGTTCCAATTGGGTATTTTCTTCTACCTTGTCTTCCCAATTGCTGATTTGGTACTCTGCTTCACCTAAGCTGCTATTGATTCCATCTAATGTGTTCTTCATTTCAGTTATTGCATTCTTCATTTCTTACTGGTCTGTTTTATGATTTCTTTCTCTGTGTAAGTTCTCACTGAGCTAATCTATTTTTCCCCTGAGTTCATTGAACATCCTTATAATCAGTGTTTTGAACTTGTCTGGTAGGTTGCTTGCCTCCATTTTGTTTAACTTTTTTTCTGGCGTTTTGTTCTGTTCTTTCATTTGGCACATGTTGCTTTGTTTGTTTCTATGTATTAGGTAGATCTGCTATTTCTCCCAGTCTTAGCGGGGTGTACTTACATTGTAGATGTCTTTGGGGTCTAGTGCTGCAGACTCCCTGGTCACTTGAGCTGGGTGCTCCAGGGGTGTCCCTTGTGAGTTATGTGCCCTCCTGTTGTAGTTGAGCCTTGATTGCTGTTGGTACATCAGTGGGTGGGTTTTACCCTTAGGTTGCCTGCCATGGTGAGAACTGGCCATGACTACAGTGGATGAGCTGTTGTGTGGGGCTGACCCCATGGGGTGGGATTCACTTTGGCGGGCTCTGGTGCCTGCCCTGTTCACCTTTTGGATGTGTCATTTGTAGTGCTAATTGGTCTGAAGTTGTCCACCAGATGTGTTGGTTCTAGGGTCTCTTGGGAAGGGTTTCAGTGGAGGCCCAGGTCATCCACTGCCTGTGTCCAGCCTGGAGCCACCTAGTAGGAGATGCAGAGTGGTCTGTGGTTGATAGCCTGTACTAGGCTTGGAGGTGCCTTGGAAATGCTCTGCTGTGAACCAAAGCTACTGCCACTAGTGCCGGGTTTGGAGCTGCTTAGCAAGACATATAGGGAACATGGAGGCCAGTTGCTGCTTGTCTGGGGTTTGGATTTTTGAGAGTTTTTAGGAAAGTCTGCAGGGTGGGCCAAGGCCAGCAGCTTATGAGGGACAGCTTCAGAAAGAGGTTCCTTCGGTGTGTGGGTTGCGTGGATTGGGGGTTCTCAGAGAATCACCTGGCTGAGGTGAGAGGGATGTTAGGGAGGTTAATGGAGACTCATATTTGGTGCAGCCTGACAGTTGTATGTGGGGAGAGCTCAACAAAGAAACAGTGGAGCCTGTTAGTACTTTAGTCCCAAGAGAGCTGCCCCTCCAGGCCTCACCTTGAAGCCAGAGTGTTCTGTTTCCCATAGTTCCCTGGCAATTTTCAAGCCGCTGACCTTTAGCTTAGGGCTAGTGTTTTTGTGTGACTGAGTCCGAGCTCAGGCCCTTTGAGAGGACATCTGGATCTACAGTACCCCCTTCTCACCCTGACTGAGTCCTTGCTGATTTTCACAACTAGTTGTTCAAACTCCTCTTCCCAGAATTGGTGCTCAGGGCTGGGGAGCCCAGTGTGTATCTGGCACCCCTCACTTTTCAGTGGGGACCTCTGCAGCTAAGATATCCCTCCTGATTCTTAACTGCCACAGGTCGGTGGGGGACCAGCCTGTTTCACATCTCTGCTTCTCCTACCAGTCATCCATGTGGCTTCTTTATATCCTTGGTTATAGTTCTGTTCAGCTGTCTTCAGGTGGTTCTCAAGGGTGGTTGTTCTATAATTTAGCTGTAATTTTGATGTCTTGGGAGGTGGCGAGCACAGCATTTACCTATTCTGTCATCCTGATGGGAATTCTCTGCTGGTGACTTTTAAAATCATGTTTAATGGCTTGAAGATTGTGATTTCTTTTATTTAAGAAATTATGGTTAGTGTGAGTTCTTTTTGATCTTTGTGGTGACAGGGCAACTTTTAAAAATCTATGATTATTCAGTGTTTGTGGTCATAAAACATAATGAAAGTTTAAAATTTTTTTTCTGCAAATGAATTTAATTAGTAGTTTGATTTTTTTTCTTTCTTCCTTTCTATTATTCTTCAGGTCTGGACCTGTTTTTAGTAGAACAAAGGTAAAATTTGACATGACAAAACAATTTGTTACTTTCATGTGTGACTGCCTTTTGTTTATTACCAAATAATGGGTTACCACTTTAAAAGGACCACATGAGCTATATAACCTATTTGAAATTCTCAAGTCAGGGGCAAGACTGTCTGCTTCGAGTGGGTAGATGGTATACACAATCCCTGAGCAAGAGTAAGTACGCCTTTACGATTTACATCAAGAAG